GGGGCAGAGAGCAGGGGAGAAAGGAAAGAGGCAGAGGAGCTGATAACAAAGCTATTCACTGTGAAATTATTTGAAATAGCAAAGGGCTAAAAAGAAGCCACATTCCATCAATGGAAATTGATTGAATTGAGTATTATGCAGCTGTAAAAAGAATGAAGAAAACTCTGTACATTGATACTGATGTATTATACATACAATTTAACAATACGTATCATAATCTGGCTTTATTTTATTTTGATACCAAGTATTGAACTCAGGACTTTGTACTTCAGAGGTCTCTAGGTTTGATCCCCAGAGCAGTAAAAAATAGATAAATAAATATAGAAAAAAATAACTTGATCACTTAATGCATATCCAGTTAATAGCACAGCCACACAACAACAAAAAATTTCCATGGATTTTAAAACACTGTGTTTTAGGCCATGGATTTAGCTCAGTGGTGCTGCTGCCTGTCTCACGTGTATAAGGTCCTGAGTTAGATCCCCAGCACCAAAAAATATAATAAAATAAAACATTGTGTTTTGACTATTGTTAATGAGTTAAACTTTTAGACCAAAGCCAAAGAACTGCCAAATAATTCTTAACCTAAATTCTCACTATCACTATTTAATATTGTTAGTAGTATTATTGATGTTTGGAAACTATTATGAGCATATATAGCAATGATAAATCAATTAAGTATCCTGTGTTAATTTCCCTGGGACTCAATATTTTCATCACAATGGAAATGATATAATTATAAAATCACAGAAGCTGAGTGAAAATCTGTATTTTAAGACTGAATTAGAAATCTTTTTATGTTTGTTTGTTTGTTTTTGTTTTGTTTTATTTTTTGGTACCAGGGATCAAACTCAGGACCTTGCACTTGTAAGGCAGGCAGTGGAACCACTGAGCTAAATCCCCAGCCCCTGGAATCTTTAATATAGGTGGATACATGTCCTTTTCAAAAAAAAATAATCCCTGGCTTTGATTACTAAAAGGCTTATAAGAAATAATAAATTAACACCAAGAAGTGCTCAGAATTCCCAGGTTATGCTTTATAATATAATTTTTCACCAAAAGGAAACATGACTACGGAGAAATGACTGTTCCATGTCTGAAGCAGGAAATGAATGTCATCTTAAAGAAACCATCCTGAGAAATCTTGTCCCAGAAATGAAGGAAAATATCAAAGGGAAATTTGATCATGGCAAAAGAACATAGCAATAGGGCCGGGGATTTAGCTCAGTGGTTCCACTGCCTGCTTTGCAAGCAAAAGCACAAAGTCCCAAGTTCAATCCCCAGTACCTAAAAAAAAAAAAAAAAAAAACATAGCAACCAACTTGAAGGAACTGCAGCTGGCCTAAGATGTGATGATCTGGTATCAAATAGAAAAAGAATAACAATTAAAATATATATAATTGAGATATATGCAAATTAACCAAGCATCACTGGTGGTTGCTTAGCCATTAACTAATCAATTCATTCCTCTGAAAATTTAAAAGGATGCCACCTGCCTTGTAAGCACAAGGTCCTGAGTTCAATCTCCTGTACAAAAAAAAAAAAAAGAAAGAAAAAAAATACAATAAAGAAAGCCTAACCACAGTCAGGAGCCAGGTCTTTAAAGTATTCTACTGAATGAATGCAGATGAATAATAGAATGAGAAAAATCACCATTTTTTTAAACCTTTAATGAAATGATGGATTTTTGAGGTAACAGTCATCAAGGATCCCAGAACCACTGAGTAAAAGGCTGGTGGAGAGATTAAGATGACACTCTTGGAATCCGCTGATCAGTCTGAGTGACACTGAAATTACAATAATCACACATAATGTGCCTCAAGAAAGGATGCCATCCATTGTAAGTTCAAAATACCTTCTATGAAGTAGTCCTGCCTACATAAATAGATCAAATATCTAATCAAGTCTCTGGGTCTAAAAAGCAAGCTGCAGGAAATATAGACAAAAAGGATAAGGTAAATAGTATCACAGGGAACTGATCAGCCAAATCCATGGAATGTGGCACATTTTATAAAGATAAATGAGCTGACTTCACCAACAAAGTCATTAAACAAACAAACAAAAAAGAGGGCAGTTATAGAATAAAAGAAATTCCTAAGCCATAACAGCCAAATGCAATATACAGACCTTAGTTTTGGCTGTCAGTTCAAGCCATCTAGTAAAAAGATATTTTTAGGATTATTACGGAAAATGAGAATAGGGGTGGATATTAAATGATATTAAAGTTTATTAATTCTCCTACATACATCAGTAGCATGGTTATTATATTTTTTTAAGTCTGTATCACTTAAAATGACATTCTGAAACATTTACTGGTGAAATATGGATGCCAGAGTTTGTTTTAAAAGTACTCTGGAAAGGGCCAGGGATTTAGCTCAGTGGTTCCACCGCCTGCCTTGCAAGCACAAGGAACCAAGTTCAAGCCCTAGTACCAAAAAAAACCTCTGGAAAAAAATTTAACTGAAGGAATTCATGAAATAAGAATGGCATAAAGCCACACAGTATATATATATGTGAATACTCATTACATAATTTTATCTTTGTATACATTTGACATTTTCTATAATAACAAGGAAAACAAAATTTACCAAAATAAACAAACAAAACCAAATGAAAAAAATCTCCTTTTAACACGGAAGAGCACTGTAGCATTGAGGGTTGGAACGCATCCATATTGTAATTTCAGGCCTGCTACTGACTCACCACTCTGGGCCTCAGCCTCTTTACTCATAAAATGAGAAGTTAGATTTTGACTCCTAGAGACTCTTCCAGTCCTAAGATATTGTGATTCTGTTACTGTGAAATCCCCATCTCTGGCACCTTCTCAAGAATCCTCTTCCCACTAAGTTAACTGTAAGCAAGACCAGAGTTTCTTCCAACTCTCCCAAGAAAGAATACTTTCCCTGAATATGTAACTTGTATATCTCGCTTTCTGTTTGGTAATGCATAGAAAGCACCAGAACCAATTCCTGTATATCTAAATCACTCAACACTTGCAGCACTCCATCTATACATCTGCTTCTGTTACGTGGTGTGTGTGTCAGTGTTATATGTCTGAGACTGTAAACTAGGACACCGTGAACCCAGCATATGGATGTTCACTTTCATCATACTGATGACTGAGCATGTTGTCAATGTGCAGTAAACGTATAACACCACAATGCTATAGCATCAAGAGTGAACTTTCTAAGCAATGTATTGCAGCTGGCCTATCTGTCCACAAACAGAATATAAAAACCCTGTATTTCTGGCTTAATTTTCTTCTTTTCCTCCTGTGCAATATTAGGAGTTATCATTAGGCAGGCCACATTTCTAGGGTGGATAAAGGACCTTTCTTCATGTTCCATGTAAAATAGGCCTAATCTATAATGTGTCTCTTTTTCCTGTATAGGACCCCTTTCTTACATGATGAATATAAATTCATTTTCAAATTTTGCCTATGACATAGCCGAAGAATGTTATCTATCTACTGGCTAGACTCTATTATTGTATTGCATTTCCTTCTATAATCTCATTTAAAACCTTCAGCTTCATAATTCAAAGACATTTAAAAAGGGAACCCCAATATGGTAGGGACTTTTGGAAGTGATTAGGTACTTTAATACTTGAGACAAGTTCAAATCAATGCCATTTGTATGTTTCTCAATATTATGACTTTCAGCAGGGCACAGTGGTACATACCTCTACTCAGGAAACTGAGGCAGAAGAATCAAAAATTAAAGGACAGCCTGTGCAGTGTGGTGAGCTTCTATTAGTCATACAGCAGCAATTCTGGGCTCAGTCCCACTATGAGGGCTGAGGGAGATGTTGATTTTTAGGTAACTTCTAAAAACCTGGTTAGTGACCACATGAAAGCTTATGTGGGTTTCTTTTCTTCTGGAGGAAGGAGGTGGTGGTAAGGGGTTACTGTATTTAAGTATTTGACCATTTCCAACTGATTTCCCATATTTTGCTAATATATAGATTTTTCTCTAATCCAGCCTCTCAACTTTAGGAAGACATGATCTAAGAATGTGAAACAAAGCAGAAAGCTAAATTCTCATATATGTTAGCCACTGTCAGCAAAATCTCTTATCTTCTTTGAGAAAAAAAATGTGACCATAAATTTCCATCAGAGGTTTCAAAAAAGTACCTCCTTCCAAGTGACCTCGGTGATGTCACTTCCTTAACTCAAAATTCTTCAGTAGTGTGTTTACTGAATTACACGGAAACCTTGGGCTTCTGTTCTCTATACAGGGTAACGATACTATCTACATCTCAGTGAGCTGTTATAAGGATGAAATGACAGACTGCACATAAAGTGCTTAACGCATCACAGGAACTATAGTCACACGTGTAGGTCAGTAAGCACTCTCTGCATGTCCTGCAGTCACCCAAAAAAGGCCACTGTCAGTAAACATTTGTTGAATCAATACACTGAATAACACAATGAGGAAAATAAGTCATTCAATATCTGTGAACAAATAGCAGTTCTCCTTTAATATCACAGCATACCTTGTTGAGGAGTTTTAAGCAGTGTTAAGCTATAGAATGCCCAAAACTGACTTTTAAAACCAAACAACCCAGTTGAAAATTTAACAGGAAAAGAGTTAATGAAGGGAAGGCCCATTTATTCTAATGAATCAAAGATGAATCTGAGATGTAATCATGTTTTATTTGTACAGGGTCATTCACCGTAGAATCAAAGTGCTCCCCACATATCTCATTAACCCTTACAACACCCTCAGGATGGCAAAAATGATCCCCTTGCTACTGAAAGAGAGAGCCTGAGGCCTGGGACAGTGAAGGGACTTGTCAGAGGCCACATCAAGTGAGTGAGTAATGGAGGAAGAAACAAAACTATATTCTGCTCCTTATCCGCAGCACCTATTATATTTTACCATTAAGTCGCCAAATATCTCAGTTACTTTTTACTCAAAAATCCACTTTAAAATAAGCCCTCCTTTAAAAAGAAAATTGGTCAGGAGTACAGGATTCAATAACACACACACACACACACACACACACACACACCCGCAACAGCTGGGGTTTTTTGTTTTGTTTTAGTGATTCCATATTAACCTTTATGGGAAAGAAACGGAAAAAATACGGGTTCAGTAAAAAGCACATCGCTACACTTTAGGACAATTAAGATGAACTCTAATTTGCAACTGAAAACATGGGGTTTTGAACCCCAAAACAAGACCTGTAGAAGATGCGCATATTTTTAGGTTGATTTTTTTTTCTTATGCTTTCACCTGGGGATGATGGACAAATGAACTCTTTTTAACTGACTGATCAGAGGAGGAATTATCAAAATTTTCAGATATGCCGCAGACAGATTCCCCAACGACGCTGGGGCCCGTTGGGACTTCCTCCCACCCCTCCTTCGGCAGAGCGCCGCTGCGCTGGAGATTGGATTCCACGTTTGCAGCACCACCAAAAGGACCGAGAAAAACTCTTCTTCGCGCTCACATCCACTCCGCCTGAATGCATTTCTTGTTTTGATTTGTTTTTTTAAGCGTGAAAACGATGAGAGAAGATCGACTCAGCCGGGTGCCGGGGCCCAGTACGTGCTTTCCCCGCACCCAGCCGCTTCGTAGGGCACAGGTGCTGCGGACCCTGCGGAAAACTGCTCGCCTTAGTTCCCACTTAGGACCCGCTCCCAGAGTCGTGGATTCCCGGTTTCTAGTTTCCTTACCTACAGCATTGCTCGGTTGGGGTCTTCCCAGGGAGTGGCCAAGCCTCCGAGCAGGAAGCCCATAGGATCTTGGTCTTTCTCTCCTTTAGTGGACTACTGGGGCCCCTAGGGCAGCTGCAGTTTGGACACCCCGAAGATAAAGGGACAAAGGGCCCAGGGCAGTTGGAGAAGAGCCTTCCGCTTAACCTGCTGGGCTGACTGGTCTCTGGAGGTCTGAGCAGGCCACACCCAGCTGTGGAGGAAGATGGATGGAGTTAGGGATGGCTCAGTTTTGGCCCTTCTCTCCCTGGTCTCCTCTTCAGGGTCCAGGCCTGCTGAACCCACCCTGTGAACAGTCTTCTTCCCAAAGAAGGCAGACTGGGGCCTGGACCCAGCTGTGCATTCTGGCCTTAGCTTCAGCATTTATCAGTTGCCCTACAACACTGATAAGTTGTTTAACCTCACTGGTCTTTGCTTTCTTTGTAAAGTGGGAATTATAGTAACACTTACTTCAGAGGGATTTGGGGAGAACAAGAGTGCATGCATCTCAAGTGTTCCTGCATGGAGATTGCTCAGTTAATGTCAGGGGCTGCTTAGCAGAATTTAAAAGCTCAGCTTGAGGAGGCCTGTGAACAAGCACTGGACAGTGGCTGTGTGTGCCAGACCCTGCCCTAGGGCCCAGAAGAAGGCAGCCATATCAGACCAAACTGATGTCCATCCACAGCTTGCACGGCTGGGCCTGGGGCAGGGATGTCGAACAGTGAGAATGTGCTGTGTTGGCAGTGGGATTTTTAAACAAAGTGGACATTTGAGCAAAGCTGAGTGAGGGATGGAAGAAACTCGTTAGGCCTGAGGGAAAGCACAATACAACCACTGTCCAATTTCCCTAAATTTTTTACCCCACCCCACCCCCTTTACTCAAAAATATCCTTCCTAGGGAGATCTGCCCAGGGATCCACGACCCACACTGGGCAACTGAAAGGAAACTCAGTTCTTTGGGTTTTTCTTTCTTTTTTTTTGGTACTGGGGATCGAACTCAGGTCCTTGTGTTTGCAAGGCAGGCGGCAGAACCACTGAGCTAAATCCCCAGCCCGAAACTCAGTTCCCTTAGCCTGTGGTGGTCTAGGTTAAGGGCCCCTACCTCCTATCTACTTGCACTCTGCAGCCCATCCCTTTAAGTCTTCAGAAGTCCCCTATGGCTCTGATGGCAGACCTATGGCATGTGTGTCATAATGGGCTGTTTGTATCATTGAAAGCTCTAAAGGGTTTGCCATTATTGCCTTATGATGTTACATACCTATAATCCCAGCACCTGGGAGGCTGAGGCAGGAGGACATCAGCTAGTTTGAGACCAGCCTGGGTTATATAGTAAGTTCAAAGCCAATCTGAATTACAGAGCAAGACCCTGCCTCAAAAAAATAAAAAATCTCCTGGAAAGAGACATAAGGAATATGCAGGCACACAAAAGAAAAACCATATAAGGACACAGTAAGAAGGCAGCCATCTATAAGCTAAGGAGAAAGGCCTCAAAAGAAACCAAAACTGCTGACTCTTTGAACTTGGATTTCCAGCCTCCAGAACTGTGAGAAGAGAGATCAAGCTGTTTAAAGGAGGGGGAGAAAAGAGGAGGAGGAGGAAGAGGAAGGGGAGAAGAATTTTCCTAATGGAGTTATAAGGGGAATAACTCACATTCTCTCAAGGAATATAACTTCCTCTTCCTCCTTTCCATGAAAGTGATGAGACCAGAAGGTTGATTAATGATGCTGACACAAACCAAATGATGGTTTTTCATACCCTCTAAACACACATTTCTCTCCACAAATTTCAGAGGTACTGTGCAAAGAAAAATGAATAACAAAGTCTATGATTTAAACTGGATTTTACATTCTTATAATCAAAAAGAAATGACTTCTAAAAGGTAGGTAAGGCCTAAGACATGTACACTTCCGAGTCTGGCCTTGCTTACACACTATCAGCATTATATGTCAGTCAAAATAACTAGCACTTATCGTGGCCTTTATGTACTTAATGTTTTCTGCATATTTATTGAGGCATTATTGATAACTGTGTAAGTGCTTTATTTCTTTAACCATTACTGATAACTTTACAGCCATCAGTTTACAGACGGGAAAACTGAAGTTTAGAGCAGTTAAATAACTTGTCCAAGGCTATAGGTTAGGAAATAGTAAAGCCACTCCTTTTCCCTTATTTTATTAAAATAAAGGTTTATTGAATATAAATTAATATGTATTGAGTGTTTTCTATGTGCCAGTCCTTGGAGGACACACCAATCTTTTAAAAACCCTTGCCCTCATTTAGATTAGTTATATTTTTGTGGAGGGATGAAGCAATAAGAGAGGAAAAGGAAAAATGCACTGTAAGAGAAGTTAAGCGCCATAGGGAAAGACAAGAGAAAGGGCAAGGGCAGTGGTAGGAAGCAGCTCAGGAGCACAGTGCCTGCCTGGCAAGTGTAAAGCCCTAAGTTCAGTCCCTGGTACCGAAAAAAGAAGAGAAAGGACTAAAAGGATGGGAATGAAAGGCTAAACTTAGACAGAGAAAGGTTCATCCAGAAGGTGACATTTTGAGCAGAAAGCTGAAGCAAACAATGCCAGTCTAGGAACAGTGAGAAGCAGACAGAGGGAACAGGGAGGGCAAAAACAGGAAGGCAGAAAAACAGGAAGTTTGAAATACAGGGGAGTGGGATTGTGCAAAACTTTACACAAACTAAATATGAGGGTGTTTTAGGCCCTCTCTTCAAGTGAAGAGAGCAAAGGAAGGGGTCAGATATGATGTGGCCACTAGGACCCTGAAGGACTGAGCTGTTCCGGGAGAGGTAGGGTCACTAGAGGTTCCCAAGCTTCTGTAACCCGAGCCTTGGCTGCCTCCGCTGAGCTGGGAATACACTGCAGGGGGGCAGGTAGACGGGGAGACCAGTTAAGAAGCTTCCATAATAACCTAGGTGAGAGAGGATGGTGGTGCTGGTCCTTGTGGTAGTTAACAGTAAGTAGCCTAAGGAAAGGTCAGATTCTGGAAGACAGAAGCCCAGCACTCGTATACAGTCTGTTTAGAGAGTATAAAGGGCCGGGGATTTAGCTCAGTGGTTCCACCACTTGAATACTTCCAAGTTTGGGGCCTGAGCAATTCCTGAAAATCTAAAGTAGACGGAGGGCAACCCTTCAAACAAATTAGACATTTGAATGGAAAGGGGTATTAGGTAGTTAAATCAACAAAACTGTTTGTTGGAGTTTAGAGACGGAGATGGCTGCTGGTGCAGAGACTGTGGGAAAGCATGGTGATAGCACTGATTAGAGATAGCATAGCGGGCTGGGGTTTTAGCTCAGTGGTTTTGTCGCCTGTTTGCAAGTGCGCCTCGCAAGTGCAAGGACCCAAGTTCAATCACTAGACTCCCCCCCAAAAGAAATAAGAGCTAGCATAGAGTAGTGCTGATTAGAGATAGCACAGAGAGGATAGGGTCTGAGAATCGGCGTCCGAGCGAGCGCGGGACCCCGCACCACACGCGCAGACGCCACTCTTTCCAGCAAAGACGGCGGCTCCCCGGGAGCAGAAGGGCGCACAGTGGCCTCGGCCTCCAGCCCTGCCCTCATCGTTCCCTCCCGGACAGGACAGGCTTTGGCGAGGCTTGAAATCGTCCCGGGTGCCATGGCGCTTCTGCCGGGCAAGGAAGGACCTCCCGAGCCTCTCTCCGACCCTGTGGAGCTCTGGCACCGACAGCCCAGGTCTTGCAAAGGGATTTCCTTTCCTCTCCACTGACATCTCTCAGATCCCTGACGGGAAGAGGAGCCCAAGGTTCCCACGGACAGGACACCCACGGAAGGGTATGTCGGTCTGTTGGGCAGGCCGTGAGAAACTCGAGCTTTGGACCAAGTTGCCCTTGCCCACGTAACAGTCCCAGGGCAGCAGTTGGGCAGTAGCTACAGATTACGGAGAAAGTCAGTATCCAGCAACTTGGGCCTAGGACAACTCAGGTCAGGTAACAAAGAGTGAATTAACCCACATGCAACAGGCAGTGGGTCTTGGCTTATGGGGATCACTGATCTCTTTAAAATTGGGTGCAAGGTATGCATCCTAGTCCAAAGACACACAGGCTTTGGGATGTATGTTGGGCATTCCAGGAACAGCTCACCAGCACCACCACCACAGCACACACAGTCCTCCACAAAGGATACCCTCACTTTGTGATCTCTGCAGGGGGAGAAAAGCAGAAACAAAACATTAAGTCCATTTCACAGGACTTGCTTCTCTTCCTCCTCCCCGCCCCCTCTCTGGGACAACAGTTAATCAAGGCACCAAGTGAGTTTGGTGGACATGAAAGAACACAGACCTCCTGGGAAAGGAAAGGCGCAATTAGAATGAAATCATTCCCTTGGGTTGTGTAGGCCTCTCCAAACCACCAACAAAAATGTAATTAGGGCAAAAATCTTTTGGAAGGAAGTTAGCAAATGGGGAAGGTTTCCTGAAACGTAATGATTCCATAATTAATGAAAAAGTTTCTATGTTAAAAGTCAAAACTATGTAACAGCTTCAGAAAGGCAGCACCAGCACTGTCTGGGAGGCTCAGGAGGGCAGGAGGGACAATAATGCAACACCCACCATGCCAAGGCCTCCTAGGCAGCTGGTGCTGCTCCTCTCGGCCGGCGGAGGGACAACACACAACACACCTCTGCTTTGTTTACTTTACCAGATGGAGAAAATGCACCAAAATTTTGGGGAAAATTCATGTCTTTCTGTTCTTAACAAAAAAAGCACTTTATGACTTTTTTATCAGCATATTTTCCTCACCTTTTAAAACCTTAGAGTATATATTTGCCAGAAGCCCGAGTTCTCACAATATGATACTCCAGTCTCTCTCCAACCAGGACTTTCTGGGTTTGATCCATTAGGGAAACGTGTTTTACAAGCTGTAGAGGATAACTGTGATAGATAAAACTTTTTCTTTTTTCTTTGTTTTGTTTTTTTTTTTTGGTAGGAAAAATTTTAAATTTAAAACACTTAGTATTTATGGGCCATTGAGTTGTTTTTATTACCCATTTAACCGAGTCTTTTCTTTGACGTGCATCCAGAGAGACTCTCATCATCCATGGCTAGATCAGAGAAACCAAAAGGAAAGGTCTTCATCATCACTAATCTCCATCTCTCACCTCCCTCCAAAACCGCTTACAATAAAGAGAACTCACTCCCACATCCTGATCCCTGCTCTTCTTTGATCTTCCCCATCATTTTCTTATTAAAAACAACTGCTCTGTTGCCACCAGCACCAGTTTGAAGTTGTCTGAGTAACTATTTTCATCCTTAAATTTTTAATTTTGAAAATCAAGTCACATATTAGAGTTATTATGGTGACAAATACAATAGCGTCACTTGAAAAACGGGAACTCTGTGGAGAGCAGCAACCTATTAATTTTCCACCAGCACTAAAATGCTACTTTCTGAATATGAGTCTCTGGTTTCCCAGCCTGGCTTCTTCCTGTCTCAGTTACACCACCTTTCATGGTAAATTTTAATTTTAGCCTTTTCTAGGCTAAAAGTGAGCAAACATAAATTTCAGGATAGTAAAAAAAAACTGCATTCCGTAACAAGTTACCCAACTCTAGACAATGATGCAACAACATACACCCAGATTCCAATGAAACTAATTAAAATAAACATGATTTCACAGTGTTTGTGTTTATTAACTCCAAAAACAGACATATTGCATTGACTTGTTAAAAATAAGTGAGTCCAATAACCTCTCAAAAATATAAAAACACAGATTAAAAGTTTGTGCCTTAGATTTTACACATGAAGATTCCAATCAGATTTGATTAAAGAGCACTAATAGCCAATCAGGAAAAAAAATGAATAGAGAAGAAGATATGTAACAAGGTTGTTTTGATTTTTATATAATACCTATTACCTTATGCAAGTTTATAGAGGATGCTTTCATTCACAGTTAGATATATCCCCCAACTTCCTGAATTTCAGGGATCCAGGGCCAGTGGTTCATCCCACTTGGAATGATCTTCCCGGAAGTACACTCACAGCCTTCTCAGGCTGGGTGAGGAACCCCACCTCCACACCTTCACTGGCACAGTTTGCTTCCCTCCTTCCAGCACTCACTGCACATTTCCGACTGTGCTATACAGCTGTATATCTTCCCTGCCATGGTATAAATTCTAAATTCTAACAGAGGACTGACTACCTCTGTCCTCTGTTTTGCTAAGCATTGTATTCTAATACCTGATACACCCAGGAACACAATGGGTATTAATTTTTTTTCAGTACTGGTCAATCAACCTAGGGCCATTACACTGCTCGCCAATCCCAGCCTTTTTTAGGAATTTTGAGAAAGTCTCCCTAAGTAGATAAATTGCTAGAGCTAGGCTCAAACTTGTGATTCTCCTGCCTCAGCCTCTTAGAGTGCTGAGATCATAGGCATACATCTTTGGATCTCTGGGCCCAGCACTGATCAAATATTTTTTAAATTAATAGACTTATTAAGTGAGTGACTTATTTTTGTTTGTTTGAGATACAAAGAAGTCAAATGTGACCTGGTGTGGCGGTGCACACCTGTGATCCTAGCACTCAGAAGGCTGAAGTAGGTGGCCAGCCTGGGCTACATAGTGAGTTCAAGGCCAGGCTGAACTACATAGCAAGATCCTGTCTCAAAAAAACCCAAAGAAGTCAAATGAAAGGAACAAAACTGGAGATAAATCCTTTGCACTTTTTTTCCATTCAATCTAGTAAAGAAGCCTCAACAGAGGAGGGTACAGAGTAGCAATGGGCTAAACATAGAGTGTGAAACCCAGCTCAGCTATTTAGTAGTTGCGTGACTCAGGTAAGTTACTTAACCTCCCTGAACCTCATTTCCTCTTCTGTAAAATAGGTACAATGAAAACCCCCCTGTAGAGTTGTTTTAAGAATGAATGACCATGCACAATATCATATATACACACACACACACACACACACACACACACACACACACACACACTAGTATCATTCATTCACTGAGTATCTGATGGCCTGCTATGGGAACAGGAGATAAAAAGATGAATAAACCAAGAGCTTTCCTCAAGACCCAAACTCTTAGGGCTCAGGGATTTAATTCAGTGGCACCACTGCCTGCCTTGCAATTTAATTCAGTGGCACCACTGCCTGCCTTGCAAGTGCAAGGACCCAAGTTAGATCCCCCTACCAAAAAAAAAAAAAAAAAAAAAAAAAAAAAGACCTAAGCTCTTAGGTAGCACAGCAAATATAGTAACAAAAACAATCGCAAGGAGTTAAGAGTCATAATTTAGCTGGAAAGGTGAGTATAATTCAAAGAGAAGATAGCACATGATTAAAGACAGAGTCTGAACAGGTTGGCTTGTGGGGGAACTGTGACTGATAACAAGGAGTCAAGTCCCATTTAATGCAAAGCAAGCCCCAATTTACTACACTAGCTAATGAGAGCTGACCAAGAGCACGCTCCTACTAGTTTTCTTGCTGTCCTCATCACCTACTATAGGTTATCTCTTATCTCAGGTTTGGATTTTGGTATATTTGCACATACAAAATAAAGTTATCTTGGGGATGCAATCAAAATCTAAACACAAAATTGATGTAGATATCATATATACTTCACACACATAACTTGAAGGTAACTTTACATGATATTTTGAGTGTGGCTACATTTTGACGGCAAGCCGTCTTGTGAGAACAGGTGAGGAATTTTCCACCCCTTAGTCCCTTGCTTTACAAAGTTTTGAATTCTGGAATATTTCAAATTTTGGAATTTTAGGATTGTGTTCACCTGTTATTCCTTCCACTCTCTCCTCTCCTCTCCTCTACTTGATGTGGTAAGTACACTCCCAACTCAGGGCTTTGCACTGGCTGAGCCTTCCACCCAGATGTTCTTCCCTTGTGTATCCACATAGCTCACTGTCCCGCCTTCTTACATGTCTTTGCTCCAATGTCATTTTTTTCTACGAGGTCAACCCTGATCAAACTACCTAAAATTACCTGTTCTATGTCTCATAAAAGGTGCCCACTCCTTAAGTTTACTAACTCTCCCTCCCCCACAATGGCTGGTCCACAGTAGTGTAGAATAAAGAAGAAAATGTGGCTGGATGTTAAATCAGGGCAGGAAGTAGAGAGAGGTACATAGTGCTAACTGCTGTGGAAAAAGATCATATTTTTTATCTGGTGAATAATAGGAAGCCTTAAGAGGTGACTAGGCATGTTCAGATCTGTTTTTTAGATAAATAACTCAAGAAAAGGATTTGAAGGTAATGATAATGGCGGACCCTAATGGTGAAGAGGCTGCTGTAGCAGTAAGCCAGAAAACAAGGTAAGGAAGACACAGAGTGAGCAGGGAGGGAAGGGACACACTGAGGCATAATTAGGGCTAAATTACTCAAGTGTTGGTAATTGACAAAGCAGAGTGACAGAGGACTGAAAGATGAGGTGACGCCCTGGCTTGCAGGATACAACTAAGTGAGCTCTAGAATGTGGAGGGAGAGGACAGGGAAAACCCTGCCCTAACTCCATACATATCCAACTGGTTCCAATGCCATTTGTGGAAGAGGGAATTTGGAGCTCAGGGGAGAGCTTTAGAACAGAGATATTCTTTCTACTAAGTGATAATTACACTGATTTTAAAGAGAAAACAACTTTCATTTCAAACAGCCAAATTTACATCCAAAAGCAGGGTTTGGAATACAGCAGTGCTTTAATTAAAATTTTATCTATCTGCTCTATATGTTTTCCCCAGATAGGATAAAGAATATGCTTTTAAAAATATCTGCACTTGATCTTAGCCAAAAGGCCGAGAAGGGATTAAAATATTTAATTAGTTCTTATTCTAGGTTTCACTTTATGCTACATTTTCAGCTAACCTCCTAGAGAAAATAATCTCTTCCTACCAAAGAGTTACCATGTTTGGTTGTGAAATAACTACTGGGATAAGACCATACCCTTTCATTTTGTAAAAGTATAATGGAGATTTTAGAGAAATTCAAAGGCAATATTATATATTCAAAACAAATTTGAGGAAATACTTTCAAAATGACCTGTAATTAGTTAGTGGAAGTTACTATCACAACATATGATTGAGGCAAATTGCTTTATGAGCTCTCCTTTCTCCCTAGTCAACCTCTATATGAAAAAATAAAGCATTAAAAAAGCGAATACTACACTGTCACTTAAAACTACAAGTAGGAGGAGACGTAAATAGTTTAGCTTCAGTAATAACAGTTCTTTGAACACTTACTCTGTGCAAGGCACTGTTAGGTAACTGTCCACAATTTACCTGTTTCATCCCCCTCCACTCCCCAGTGCTGAGGATTGAGCACAAGTACACTCTACCACGGAGCTACATCCTCTGCACATTTTTTAATATTGATTTTCATTTATTTATTGCCATACTGGACTTCAACCAGGGCACTCTGCCACTGAGCTACATTCCCAGCCCTATTTATATTTTTGAGGCAGGGTCTCTACTATGTTACCCAGGCTGGCCTCAAATGTGTGGTCCCTCTGCCTCAGCCTCCTGAGTAGCAGGGATTAAAGCAGTAAACCGGCTGCCTGATTTTCTCTAATTCTTCAAAGTATACTAATAAGAAAACAACAAAAACAAAAAGCAGGGCTTAAATGTTGAAAATGTGTAAAACACAAAACAATTGTTATATAAATAACAGAATAAATTAATAGGTTAAGCTCATGTTTGTGATCTGGGATGTTTCTTTCAAATGCTGAGTTTATCTAGGATGATGGAAAAATGTTTTGGATAGTTACTAGCTACAGTAATAAGTCATCAGTGATCCGGTAGCTAAGTGCACCGCACACATTTTGGATTGTTGGCTGGGCGTAGGTTTTACCCAACTCACAAGCTCATCGCAGAGCTTCTCTAAGGCACTTTGCTGAACTAACTCTAGTCAAGTCATCTAGGCCTTAGAGATGAAATAGAAGCCATTCGCTGGTTTTTTGTTTGTTTGTTTGTTTGTTTGTTTTTAAAGAGCATTGTTTCCTAGGCTGGCCAACAATGTTAGCCAGCTTTAACGGCCTTTAACTTGGCTAATATTCATGTATTTATTTAGGTACTGGGGCTTTTGCTTTGAGCTCCATCCCCAGCATATGTATATATGGGAGTTGTTTTGTTTCTTGCGACAAAAACAGGCTAGGTCGCTAAACCCAAGCTGGGTTTGAACTTGCCATCCTCCTGCCTCAACCTCCCAGAGCGCTGGGATTACAGGCCTGTACCACCACACCCAGTTTAATTATATACTTTAATAGACCTGGAGGGCTCTGCCCCTCAAAAATAAATTACTAAATCAGCGCTCCGAGGGTGAAGCCCCAGCTGCTTTCTACTTTCGGTGGCCTTCGCAAGGCTCCTGTCACTTCGCAGTCCATTTTGCGCTCGCACAAACTTCGTTTTAAGCAACCAGGGTTGACTCCCACCCAACCTCCCATTCTCCCCGTCCCCCCACCCGGCCCGGAAACGTGTGGAACTTAGATTTCTTTAGAACGTGTCCCTTTCGTACCGTTCGCCTCCAAGTCCTTAAAAAGAAGCGCCGTTACCGCTCAGGTGTGTGAACCCCGGGCGCAGAAAGGGAAAGTTGGCGCGAGGCCCCGCAGCAGCCGGGTCGGGTAGCGCAAGCCGGGCGGACGGGGGGCG